AAAAAAAAAAAAAGGAACACCTTAGGTTATTTTGTTTGCATGACAAAGCCTTGGAAAAAGGAAAAAAAATAGAGGAAAAAAGCAGCCCCCAAGACAGTATTGCCACTACTGTACCGAGTGTAACCTTCCACTTGAGAAAGTAACTAAGCAGGAAACCACCGTTAGCACTTCAAGGAACTTCTAAAAAATTGTTTATAATTAAAACCTCCTGGATGTGTTTTTCTGGATTTCAAAGAACACAAATTAGACTTCCGGCAAATAGCCCAAATTAGTGAACTTTTGTAGCTGTAGAGTATATGTAGAGCATCACAGCCTTTTCTTAAGCTACACGCAGAATAGGTTGCAACTATTTCACTGTAATCCAAATGGACAGAGCAAGGAGTCCCATTCTCTCTCGGCACTTGCAGGTGGTGACGGTTCAGATTTCCAGAATGCATGCAAAGATGCAGTCAGAACAGAGTTCAAAATCCAGGAAAAACTCAATCATGTAGTCGACCAGGTAAGTGCACAGACTAGCTCTGGAACTGCAATCACCATTTCCACAGACGGGAGTCTTCAAACTCTGGACACATCTTTGTTACAAGAGGAGGCTCAGTTTTTGTTGCTGGGGTTTGGCTGGGGTTTTTTTAAATCCTTTTTCAAAACTCAAAGCAAGTTTGTGCGATAGAAGTGTGGTGACCCTGGACTGCTACAGCCACTTCTAATGTACAGAAAGCACTACTGGACCAATAAAGTGATTTTAATGCCTACCAGTGGCTTTCACAATGCAGAAGGCACAGCAAAGTTCCAGAAAACATCAGTTAAGTACGCAGGCTTGCTGAAGAGGACAACATGGACGACAACACAAGCTGTGTGTGTTGACCATGATCCCCTTAGAAGAGCATCCACTTGTAATACTCTAAGTCCCATTCACCATCCAGTAAGGATAAAACCAGAACAGCTTCACATACTGCTCATTTTAAACAGGATAGGCTACTAGGTTAATTAACAACACCTTACTCTGCAGCCCCATTATCCAGACAATTGTGTAGAAGAGCACTATTTTAGATTTAATTCCTTCCCTTTTGAGGTGGTTCACAGAAGGGTACCCACTCAACAAGATTTTACGTGGGCAAATCACAGTGTTTCCTCACTCTTAGAGGTGTATTAATTTACCATAACCTGAAACTTATTATTGAAGAGGGCAGAACTCCTTGTTAATTGGGGGACAGAGGGGTCGCACTGCCTTTGAGCAGATTGAAAAAAAGGTAGAAAGAGGCAGGTGGTGCCTTTCATACATATAACAACAGAAAAATCAGCGAAGTTAGGTAAAACTAAGTGCAGCACATTGAAAGCCAATCTTACATTATGACATAATACTGATTTGTAAACAACCTAATATGCAAGTGTTAGAAAAAAGGCATTGCTCTAGTCTCACAAATCAAAGACTGTGGGTCTGGAGCTATTTAAAATGTCTGTGGAATACTGGTTTCTTCTTTGAAGTAGTCTGCACAATGGCACATTAAAAACACTACTCCAGTTCCAAATGCCTTCCTTTATGAAAAAATGACAGCGAACCATTTCTGACTTTTAGTCAGCTATGTTAGAGACACAAAGAGCTGTTTCAGAAGTACCTATGCCTGATGGCTACTCACACGGTATTTTATATTCTTCCATTTCACCCATGTATGGGAGTAGCTCATAGTACTCAGCTAAGCTTCAAGTTTGAGAAGTTGGGGAACCATTAGTAGCAAAAGCACTATAAAAAAGTTTAACTGCCCCTTTCATCCTACTTCAGACAGTTAAAAGCAATTATACACGGAAGCATCGTAATCTACTAAGGAAGCCTACTTCAAACTATGGCACAGATTTAAAAGCTTAGCAGTGTCCCCTGCTTCAAATGTAAGCTATTCAGGCATCAACATCATAAGAACTGTGACTTAAATATGGCTGGAATATTTAAGTCTTCTCTTCTGGAAATGTTTATTATGTCAAGGTATCTAGCATGTATTTCAACAGCTACAAAAGGGAATCCCAGACCGGAAAGTATTTTGTTTTCAGGAGGTCTATGCAATACCCTCTAACAAGACAGATCCCACAGGACACTAATCAAAAGGCAGGGAGGTGCCGCATAATCACCAGAACACAGAAGAACACTAACTCTGAGCTCATCAGCATAATATTAAAGACTTCATTATAAAACTCCCACTGTCCCTTCAAATAACGTAGGAAAGCTATTGTTGGAAATGTGTGGCTCTTTTTTATTAGTTTCCTAAAAGATTTCAAGTTTAAAATAATATCTGGCAATTGAACCCCGAGTCACAAGCTTGTGCAAAAATTTGTTTAAAAAAAAAAACCAACTTTGTATACAAAATGGGTCTTGGAAACAAATTCTGCACTATACAGTGGTAAATAAAAAGACAAATACATATTTCACACTTTTTATTTACAAATTTTATAATACCAGTCACACATTTCAGAACCATTTATTTAATTGTAAAGCAGACCACTCAAGTTTTACACTAAACAAACTGTCTCCAGGCAACACTTTTTAAAAAGTGGCTTAGTAAAGGAGATCACTTTCCCAGAAACAACTAAAAACTTGCCTTGAATAAGCTACAGTCACAAACAGTAACTAGGCAAAACTAACCATTGATACAGGTTTTAAGACATCTTTTTTAAAAACCCCCACACTTCAGGGCAGGTTCTAAATCACCCAGAAATAAAAAAAAAAAAAAATGACAGCATTGTTATTCACCACAAATCATTTTATACACATCCACTGCCCTTTAGGAGATATAATGGTGAGAGCTATTAGATTATGAGGTCACCTCCCCAAGGAATGGCAAAACTCAGCCACTGGCAGCATTTAAAACTAGACTGGAAGAGGTCTGTGCATACTAAAAAGACATCCTGCATTGATAGAAAGATAGATTAAGTAACTTAGGAGATCCTTCCCTCCCCCCTCATTAGGTAGTACAATTCTCACCATTATAAACCACGATTTAAAGCCAAAGGAAAAAAGCCTTTTAACACCTGAGATCAGAGGGAGCAAGGGAAACAACGAGGGAGGGGTGACTGGCACCATGGGGGATTGAAAGAAGAACCCTTTTCTTACAAAATGCTCATTAGAAAGGTGCTGTAAACCCCTATCCATGTGTAGTGGCTGACTGATGTCAGCAACTGCCTGGGCTGGGCTCAGAGGGAGCCTCCTCTTTCCCTTTTTATATCATGTGCCTTTCAGACGCCATGTTAGGATCCTACAGGCTGCTGCAGTTTCTACAGTCAGGGACAATTTCTTCTTCCCCATCCTCAACCAATAAACTTCTCTAGCCAAAATATATTAAATATGCACACAACACTAGCGTTACTCGGGGCACATATCATCTGAAAGCCAAAGAGATTATCCCAAGCCCTCAGAATTTTCTCTAATCAGTCAGAGCAAAACAACCCCACCACCACTTCTCTATCCGGAGAAGATGGCCCACAAACTTTTCTATACGATAAAGATGCCTCCCACCCCCCAATTAATCTCTCACAGGGACCACACTGGGTAAATGGCCTTAACTGATACTTAAAGGTCACTATATTTAGCCCTTCAGAAACGGACAATTTGCGTTCTATAAACTTAATATTATTTCCCTTTAAACTACCCCCCAAGAAAAACCCAACCCTCCACGAGACCTCCCGACTCAGGCCCTCTCTAATGATTGCAACATTCACCTACTGTCCAAATCGCCTAAATCCAAGGGTTTAGACACCAGATTCGGACACCGAATCCTGACTCCATATAGGGGGAAAACCCAGCTCCAAGGGCGCGGAGGTGCAGCTGCCCAGTCACTGCTGGGCCGCCATGTTGTGCCTGCTATTTACACGGGGCTCGCACCGCGAGCCACGCTCCCTCATCTCGCAGCTTCTCCTAGGATGAGTCCCAAACCCTTCCCTAATCCCAAAGGGTGGTGTGGGGGCTGCTCCCCTCCCTCGAGTCCCCTGCTCCCTATGCAATGGGGCAGTAGAAGCAGCAGCCTTAAGTTTAGCGATGGAATAAGGAGCCCTCCCCGCTCCCCGCCGCCTCGCCCCGTACACCCTGATCCCAGCTGGGAGAGACTTCCCTCTTCCGCCTGCTCCCCCCACGGCCACCCCTGCCTCCTGGACCCATCGGAGCCCCCGACACCCTCCAGCTCCGTCCAGATCCTCTCCCTACTCGCCCCCTCACTACCAGGACCCTCCCCGGCACTACCTTCTGAGCCCCCCTCGCCGCCCCAGCCCAGCCATATCCACCCCGTCGCCGGGCTCCTCACCCCGCCCGGCCTCCGACCGAGCTTCTCCCTTTCTCTCTCGCTCCATTAACGGGCCCTCGGGCCCTCTCGCCCACCCCTGGCTCCGCTGTGTCCCCCTGTCCTCCTCGCCCCCCTCTGCCGCTGACCTCCCCTAGGCCGCCCTATCCCGCTTCCCCGGCCGGTCCCCCCAGCAGTATAGGTAGGAGTAGTAGTCGGTGGAATATAAAAACCTTGGCGATTTGCGCCTCGATCAGGGAGACGATGTCCTTGGCGAAGGGCACGTTCTCCTCGGCCAGGATGGTCAGCATGTTGATGTGCGGCTTGCTGTTGAACGTCAGGTCCTCCAGCGACGACTGGTAGTCGCGGCACGCGTCCTCCCGGGCCTCGCTGCTGCCAGCGCTGCTCTCCGGGGCCGACATGCTGCTCGGACCAGGACCCGACCCACCGACCGACAGCCCCCTCCCCGCGATTCCCCGCCGCCGAGCGATGCCGATGCCGCCCCCCCGCCGCTGCCGCCGCTGGGCTCCTCTACCGCATCCTCCGCGCCGCGACTCCCGTTGGCTGCGCTGCTGGTGCCGCCGCTCCTCCGGCCGCCGCCGGCTCAGTCTCGGCGCTCACAAAATGGCGGCGGCGGGCACGGCTCGCGAACCGCTTCCCGCAGCCGTTGCGTCATGTGAAATTGTGCTTGGGAGAGGGGCCAGGGCCTTGGAGGGCCCCTTTTGTTCGCCGGTCGCGCCCTGATTGGCTAGAGCCCCGCCTGCGCGGCTCGCCATTGGCTCGCCCGTCAGCACAGCGGTCTCCGATTGGCTGGCACCGCCCTTCCTCCCCACTGACGGGCTCCTGCGCTCAGGTCCCGCTCTCGCACTCGCGTCCCGACTCGCCATTGGCGGCGTGTCTCGGCCCCGCCGCTCCCGTCCCGCCCTGCCTCTTCCTCCCGCCTTCCCGTGCCGCCCTCAGCGCTGATTGATGCTCCCGGCCCAGTCCCGCCTCCCTGGCCAGCACGGCCCCGCCCGCCGATGGCTCAGCCTCCATAACGCTCTCCTCGCCGAAGCGGCCGCTTCCAGGAACAGTAGGTTTTGTTTATTGGATGGGAAGTGACAGGACTAGGAGTAGTGGCTGTGAACTAAAACACAAAGAGTTTCACCTCAACATGAGGAGGAACTTTTTCACGTTGAGGGTGGTAGAGCATTGGGCTGCCCATGGAGGTCGTGGAGTCTCCCTCTCTGGAGATATTCCAAACCCACCTGGACACTTTCTGTGTCACCTGCTCTAGGTGACCCTGCCTTGGCAGAGGTGTTGGACTAGATGATCTCCGGAGGTCTTTTCCAACCCGAACTATTCTGTTTCTGTAATCCGTCCGCCTCAGCAAGCGTCCCGGCCCTCCCTGTTTTTCTGATGCCCTTTCTGTCTTCCACCTTTTAAGTAGTCCCCCCTCACACCGGTGTTTCGAGGTCTAAACAGAGCCAGGAGCCACAGGAGTGAGCTACTAACAGAGGAGAACTAGAGAGAAAAGAAACAAAACTTGCCCTTCCTTAGTCATGAGATTTGCCCAAAGGTATCTCTTTTAAGTGAACTTGCTTGCAAAGCGTTTTCAGGTATAGCCATTCCTTCCTCCCCCCATTGCCTATTCCTTAGTGACTGTGGGGAACTGTCAGCATTTGAAAGCAGGCAGTGGGTGAATGCTTCATTAAAATACACTGAAAAAACACATGATGAGATTATGTTAAAGTGTAAATTACATATATATGTGGATATATGTTCTGCAAATATAGTGGAAAGATAGCAAAACCGAAAACCTGACCAGCTTCTGGTAAAAGTGGCTGTTTGTCATTTTATCCAGCTGCAAATATATTTTAGTTTCTGTCTTCATGTTTGTATCCCCTTTCTGAGAAACAGGGAAGGCAGGGACACGAAATGCAAAACCAGCTTTTATTTGCCTGTTGAATTGCAAATTCATGTTTGTTCCTGTAAGCCTTGAAACACTGTACTTTGAACACACCACCTTTACAGTGTGTCACCACAAGATAAGAAAATAAAACTAAAGTTTCTGTGTCTGGCTGACCAAAGCTGGAACTACAAGGCCTCTTCTCAGCATAAATATTAGCAGCTATTTGAAGACCCCCTGTCCATTAATAATATTAATTATGTACTAGGAATCAAGCCATAATGTACATCCAGTTTATTTAGCAAAAACAGTACATACTGTTCTGCTCCTAGGGGAAAAACGTGGGGGCGGGGAAATGTTTCTCCTCCTCAAACCACTCTGTTTGTAAGTTAGAATGCTTGTTTGTACTAATTACAGGAGCAAACCCAACAATATAAGCAAAACTGCCTTGATGAAGATGTCATGTGGTCCAAGGCCACCCTCAAAATCAGATTTGCTGTTTACTGATCAGGAAAGGACTGATGTGATGCAAAACAGTTTGCTACCCTCCAGAACACAGTCTTCCTGAGGCTGAGTACACCCAGTGTCCCTGAGCAGATCTAGTGTTTTAGTGTATTATTAGTTTGTCTTTACTAGTCTTCATGTGAAGCCAGTGGTACCTCAGCAAGGTCTACAGGTTGTTAGCAAGAAGTTGCCCGTGAGGTCTCCATGCTGATGAGTTGTGGGAATGCTCTGTGCTCTAAGCAATTTTTGAAACAACTCATTAGGAGTTGTACAGAAATGCCCATTGAGTCTATCCTTGGGCACTCTAATGAAAAGTTGTTTATTATTACAGGACTTGTGTTGTACCAGCAATGTGTGCAGAGTGTGAGTTTATCTATGCCTGCGTAAGCATGTCTCATACGTGTGTTCTTGAAACCACCTCCTAGCAAAAGAAGAGCTTTGCTGAAAGCATCACTTAGAAATGCTTCTGGTACAGCTGTGTCCCATTGCTTCTTACAGCTTCTTACAGCAGTCCCATTGCTTCTGACATAGCTGTCAGATAAAATTTGGATATTTGGGTTTTGGTTTGTGGGTTGGTTTTTTTTTTTTAATAGATGCAGCTATGGGTTTTGCTGGTATAAAGCCCACTAAAAAGCCTCCAGACTAGACCCACGTATAGCCCACATGACTTGAGTATCACCAGCAATTGGTAATTAAAGATGTTTTGCTGAATAGTCATGAAATTATAGTACTATATAACAAAATATATCAAGGAAACATGCCTTTCAAGATTTTATTACATTCCAAAACATCTGTAGTTGAAAATACTCATACTTCTGTTTATGCTTGAGATTATTTTTCTTGGGAACTTTCATTAAATTACTTTAAGCTGCTTTATAGCTAAGCAAGGATAGAAAAAGAAAAGAATCTCTAGGCACCCAGAAATGTTCTTGCTGCTTTTCATTCTGGAAAAATAAAAAAAAAAAACTAATTGAAAATGCATCTTTTTTGTCATGTTAGGAAAAGGAAAACACAGACACTAAAGAAACAAACACAGTGTAGATTTTTAAATATTGGTTTAATGAGATGTAAATTACCCCTCTGTATATGAGCTGAAGTCCTTTGTTCTCCAGCCAAGATTCTCTTAAGGAAGTAGACAGTGTTTCTCAGTGGGCCTCCCAAGGGGTGGAAAGCTTTATACACTCGTCAAGCCTTCAAAGCAGCTCCACTGTCATCAGCCTCACACACTTCAGTAGCTGATTTGTAGAACAGCCTTAACTAGAAAGTTTGCCAATATAGTTACAGTAGAAGACCTGGTAAACCCTCCTAGAGGCATGATCCAATTTAAATTGCTTTTCTAACTGTCTATTGCTTATACCAGAACTGCAAAGGATGTTTTGCCATTGAAACTACACCTGTGGCTTTTTGACAGCCAACATAGCTGTATTGATTGGTGAATGTTGTTTCAGTCCTGGTATTGCTAAATCAGCAAAACTTTTAAAGATAAACCAAGCCTCCATCGTGTGCCAGCCAGATTATTCCTTGTCTAGGTTACACAGGTCTCACACAGCTTCCCTCACTTTTATTCACCTTTAGAGTTGTACCCTGGTGACCTCTGAACTAGTAACCACAAGCCTTTTATAACAGGATTATCTCCTGTTTAGAGCTAAGCACCTAGGTTGCTCTGAATGTGAAGAGCCTAGTTTTCTTCATAAGGTCAAAATGCAGGAAATGCTGGAGTTGCAGATTTGTGGAAGCACAAAAAATTTCAGTTTATTTTTCCAGTATCTGATGGTGAATAGAGATGAATTGGAGATGCTTGATGAAGGAACCATCTACTAACATTTCAGTACTTAAAAAATTCTGGATATTGTAACTTTTCTAATATAGATAGGGTTTCACAACCTCAGAAATTCTCAAGGTGTGATAAATACATTTAGTAAAGGATCATTTGCTCAGTTGATAATTAGGAAAAATTCAAATACTGACATACTGAAAAATATGTTTAGTATGTCTAGACAAATGTACTAACCTATATTGCCCTTCAAAGCTTTGCAAGATAGTCCTGACATCTTGTAATCTCTGTAACATTTTCATTATGATGGGTTCATCTTTACAGTAAGGCTCAAACAGCAATGAGCCAAGATCAAAGGCTGAGAATAAATAGGAAAGGAACTGTTGAGTCTACATGTTCCTGCCTTGGTCAATCTACACTAAATACTGTGGGGGAAAATAAAAAAGGCAGTGTCCTAGTTACAGGGGCCAGGACCAGTTTATCACTATGTGGTTATAACCAAAACTGTGTATTCTACACCCTCTGTGTCATTTCTGATGGACTGTTAATAATGGATCGCTTGCAGCAGCTGCCCAGGGCACACCTGACACCTCAGCTTACAAGCTGGGTGTTAAAAACTCTGTGAGAAGTGTTTCTTTATTTTCACACCAATGACTCAGTTGTGATAACTCCCCTCCAGGGAGGCATGAGCACCTTCACACCCAGCCTGAGGGGGCAACTCTGCTTATGGGCCACAAAAGACTGGCATAATAGGCAGCTGCAATGACCTAGTCTATTAAAGATTCCCAAATATCCCATGACTCACAGAGTTAAATCACCTATTGTGAAACTGCCAGCCCTGGAGGAAGTACTGGACATTCCCACCTGAACCCAACCAGATATAATCTTGGAGTTTTGGGAAATCCAGAAGAGGACCAGAACTTCAACAGGACTGCAGCCATCATCCAGAGCAACAGGTTTTTCTTTCCTTTTACTTTGCACCCAGGGGAGCCATGTGGTGCTCAGCACAGGGGCTAACGAAGACTATTCTGTTCTTGTCCCGGGGTGCTGGGTTATACATCTGTCTTTGTGGGTTAAAACCAGTTTTCTCTGTATTTATTGTAATCTTTTTAGTAAATTGTAACTGACTTAAAATCTCTCTTGAGTTGGGTTCATTTCTCCTGCTGGTTTACTTTTAAACCAGCACAGGCAGATTTCAGAAACATTATGGATAGTGTTATCAAACCTAGCATTTGGTATGTGGATATAGCACCCAAAGATGTGACAGTGAGCTTTTGTGAACCACATCCTTATTTATAATGCTTCTAAATAGCCGGGTTACCAGTAAGAGCCTGATTGCAGCAGTGTCCTGGTTCTAAAGACTTGCTGAGTTCCCATGAAGACTTGCGTAATCTTTTGAAACCTCATGTTGTCACAGCTAAATTGTTATGGATACCTGGGTTGACATGCTACCAGCTCACCTTCTGAAATGACATCTTGGTGGGTCTTGGGAGACTGGAGGACTCAAAACCCAGATAATATTTTATTCTGGCACTTCTGTGTCGTTCTCAGCTACCCAGACAGATATTTATTACCATTCTCTGCTAGCTGTGACTGGATGACATTTTGCTGGGCAAGGTTCTGGGTTGCTACAGAAACTGTCTCTACAGATCCATTCAATCAAGCAAGGCTCTAGTGACAAGACTCATGCTTTCAGCAGGAACATAAATAATTCACATTTTTACTGGCCAGCTCTCTGTGCCTTCCCTACAAGCAAGCTGGCAGCTCAAAGGAAAGCAGCTGTGATTAGTTAGAACTAATATCTAGAGAGTTAAAGGCATGTTAGAAAGTATATTATATTTTGGAAACATTTTGCTTCAGAGCCTAATTTTTTTTTGAGCAGGGCAACACCAGCAAGACTGTCAACTGTTTTTCAGAGAGATAATGGAAAAGACTCTTCATTTAACTAAACCTGCTCCTATCACATCACATCACACTCCCCCAGTTATCCCTCAGTGCAGTACAGCAGCCAAAGAGGCAGCTGGCTTTCTTACTGATAAAGCACACAGTCACGTAACACCACAGAATTAACCTGGAAAGGATTCCCTGGTGTTTCAGATTTGTCTGGCTGTCCCTACCCACGGGCAGCCATTGGCACAGATGCCACTGGGTAACCATAACAGTGAAGGACCTACAACATTTAGGCTCTGTTTATGCAGGGTGCTGGAACTGCTCATTAAAACTTGATGTGACTACTATAATACTTCTACATACAAATTCAAGACGATTCCCTCCATGCAAGTTGTACACCCTTCTCACTCTTGACTTTTCCCACCTGTGCAAACTATCCATCCAGTATTTAATCCATCTCCTTCTCAACTATGCTTCTGCTGTTCAGTTCTGGGAGTTCAACTCTTCCTTCTGCAACAACAACATCCCCTTTTACAACTATTTTCAAAGAATATGGGATGAATGTCAACAAAAATAGGATGGATGTCAATAAGTATGGGATAAATGTCAATTAATATTGGAAGATGGGAGTCTGCGGCAGTGTTTGGATGAGCCAAGGTCTCATTCACCTTTACCAAGCGAGTTACCCAAGAATTTTGTGAGTAAATTCCATATAATTAAATAATATTTAGGTTGTATTAGTGTTCAATGTGACTGCAGCTAGCCTAGCCTCAGTCATAGACTGACCTTTTCTTTCTGTTACAGTGTGGCCTGATAAAAAGTCCTTTAGCACTTACATGTGTGCTGGTTTGGGCAGGGGTAGAGTTAATTTTCTTCACAGTGGCTGGTATGGGACTGTGTTTTGGATTTGTACAGGAAACAGTGCTGGCAACACAGGCATGGTTTCCTTCCTGCTGAGTAGTGCTTACAGAGTCAAGGCCTTTCTTGCTCCTCACCCCACCCCACCAGCAAGTGGGCTGGGGGTGCACAGGGAGGAGACACAGCCAGGACACCTGACTGCAACTGTCCCAAGGGCTATTCCAGACCATATGGTGTCATGCTCAGCATATGGAGCTGGGAGAAGAAGGAAGGAAGGAGGGGATGTTTGGAGTGACGGCATTTGTCTTCCCAAGTCACCATTACACGTGATAGAGCCCTGCTCTCCTGGGAATGGCTGAACACCTGCCTGCTCACGGGAAGTGGGGAATGAATTCCTTGTTTTGATTTGCTTGCATGCAGAGCTTTTACTTTACCTATTAAACTGTCTGTATTCCAACCCACAAGTTTTCTCACTTTTACCCTCTGGATTACCACTGGGGTAGGAACGTAAGAGAGCGGCTGCGGCTGTGTGGTGCTTAGTTGCCTTCTGGGGCTGAACCACAACAACATGTCATGTGTCTTCCTTTAGTGGTCACCTGCATGTGTTGGAGATTGTAGATGCCAGATCATTGTGCTGGGAGCTGCTATCTGAATTAACAGCCCCTCCTGCCTTTCCTTTTCTCATCACAGCTGTTTGTGATTGCAGGACATTCTGGGGTTTTTGATGCTTCTGTGCATTGCATCCACTTACTAAATGTTTTGAAGTTGGTGTGGGAGAATGTATCTACTTTTCCTAGGTCCCTTTTTAGAAATACTTCTAGCCTGCCAGTTCTGTGGAATAAACTATAAAGAGACTGGAAAGCTCTAGACTTCTGGTTGTGGTTTCTGCTCCAAATAATAACAGCAAATGGATCCACATCAGAGTAAAGACCTAATCCAGGCGTATCCATGCAACTGATATTTCTGCCACAGGCAACAGTTGCAAAGCATGGCAGGTGGTAGAAGGTGTGTTCTGATCCTTTTGGGAAAACCAACTGCTCACCATCCTCCATTATAACCACAATCTTCCCCCTTTTGCACTATCAGCAAATTTCACACATGTATTTTCTATTTCACGATGTGCATTGTTAGAAAAACTTTGAAAAAAACTAGGATAAAAACATGTAGCCACCTTTCTGTGGTGAAAATATATGAAACCAGATTTGCGCTGACCCTGTAGGGGTTTTAGCGAGTTTGTTTATGAAAATGCACCACAAGACAAAATTTTCACTTTAGTCCACATATCTAATTATATCTACAGCTTTTTGCTTATGAGTCTTGTTAGCCTATCATAGAAAGAAATTTGATTGCGATTTCTACCAGATATAATTTCTACCTGATGCATTCATGGTAGCTGCTACTCATTTCCTTGTTGTTTTCCAAATGCTTACAAATAACCTTTTATCTGCTCCAAATTGAAGGAACCGAAGATGACTGGCCTTTAATTTGTTAGTTACAAAGACCAAACCCTTCAAATCCTACTTCTTATTGACAATATTAGAGTAACACACCTTAAATGAATCCACTAGAAATGCTGGAATCGATTTACATAATGAATTTATAGCCTGCACTACTGCATGCTCACAGTGCATGCAGACCTGACTAACAGAGAAGCATCTGATCTTTGCACTACCACTGTAAAAATCAGTGGGGGGGGGGGGGAAGGGAATGTAAACACCAAGCTCTGAAGAAGAACAGTTCCCTGATGTCTTCATGGAAGCAGACCTGAGATGGGTGCCTGCAGGTGCACATCACTCTGTCCTGATAGTGAATCACTGATAAATATTTTCTGAGGAGAGTTACACAACCAGTTTTGCACCCCTGTAGAAATTGCAGCTGCTTGGCTTATGGGACTGTTATGTGAGACAAAAGCCCTACTGAAGTAGACATTTTCAGTGCTTTTTTCCTCTCCAAGAATCTGCTTACCCGTACAGTGATTTCTATTGGTTTGATAAGATTTTTTTCAGATAAGTTGATGTTGCTAATTGCTAATGTCTTTGTTACCTATCATGGGGAATAAAACCACCACAAAGACATTTAAATATTGGAAAAAATATACAAGGTATTTTAAGAAATATACATTTGTTTGGGGTTTTTCTTTTTTTGTTTGTTTATTTGTGTTTGTGTTTTTTTTTTTTTTATTAAAAGCAAAGCTCAGATTCTCTTTCATCAGAAGAACCCTATCCATCAGAAAATGCATGGTTTGGCAGTGAGGTGTAAAGTAGTTTTCCCCCAAGTCAGTAGATAAGGTAAGAGGTGTCTTTCTTTCTAGCTCTTAGTTTAGATTAGAAGGAAGCTTGTGAATTGAATTTGGTTACTGCTCCTTGGGGCATTTTTCTGGGAAGAAATATTGTGATTCTTGGCTAAAAATCTCCTCTCATTGCCTGAAAGTGTCAAATTTTAGGGTTCAGCCTACACTACTAGCCCAACAACAGCTTAGTATTGCAATGAAAAATCTTTGTATTGTATTGCAAAAGGTTTCCAGCATTTCTCTTGAGAAGAACAAATCTGGTCTCAGGATGGTGTTTTAACTCTCACTTAACCCAGCTGTGGTTCCAGCAACATTAACACTCATGAGACCCTGAGTAGGAGGCAAAACAGACACCCTCTCTTTTCCCACTCCCATGCTGGGTGGGTTGCACTGCTATGCATCTCCCTACTAACACATCTCTTCCTCCTCTAGGTTTCAGCGTGCACAAGAAAACCCAGGCATGGATCAGAAAACAAATTATTCTTGCAGTGACCTGAGTTTGTATGTTCACGAAATAACATTGTTGCTACCTCAACTGCAGAAGCACTTTCAAGAAACCTTTCTCTCCTTATCCCACCCTGTACAGCTGTCCTATATGAAATAATATAAAAAAATGTTAAATCTCAGTGGGCTGGACTCTGCTGCTGGAGTAACCACACAGAGGGTGGGGGGACTGCAGCATTATCAGCACATTACCCCTTGTTATCCAGAATAGGCTATTCCCTGATTCTTCAAACAGGATTTTCCTGTTACTGTGTGTGGGCTGGGAGGTTTAACTATATTCTGACTCTTCCTACTGCTATGATTGTTATTGTCTCCTAGAAATCTTTATGGATATTGAGCAAGGAGGCATAAACCTGATCAGGGGAGTAGTATCAGTGCTTGGCAAACCCAGTCTTTCTAAGGGACAGCTGTCATCCTCACAAAATGCCAAGTGAGCAACAACCCCCCTCAACCCTTTACATTAAAGAACAGTTTTTGACTTAAGCCTATTTTGTATCTTATAAGAAGATTAAAAGAATTAAAGAGAAACCAAGTGACCTTTTCAGTCCATTTAATATTAAGTATATGATACACAGCTTCATCTTATACAAGACCAGAATAAGTAGGACATAATGATTATACACTTGTTATGCTGCTCTGGGGGACTTCCAAGCTGGATTGCCCTGCCTGCATCCATCTCCAGAGGATCTCCAAGGCTTCACAGTTGCATACACGTGCCTTTAGCTACAGTTCCTGGAAAAAAAATCCTATTTTTGTTATAGCAGAGTAATCACTTCAGTATACTGAAGAGGAAAGCTCTCTTGGCTGTACTGCAGAAGTTTTGAGGAGGTGGGAAGTGGCTGAGGGTGGGTGGGAAGGGCCACGTAAAGCCATGGCACCCCTGCAGACCCTGCCCAAGGGGTCCTGCACAAGGTCCTCATGAATCAGCACTTCTTTCATCGATGGTCTGAGTAACCCTGTTCATCAGTCACATCAGTACAATAGTGGCACACTGGTGTGGGGGACATGGAAGGGACAGAGAATGTGGCCTTGAAAGAGGTGCCCTACAGCAGATCTGTGCCTGACAGCCTGTTCCCCAAGCTGGAAGACAAAGTGATATGAGCATGGTGACTTCTTCCATACTGGTGGTGCCTAAAGCCTTTGCCTTTCCCTTAGTAAATGCCAAACTAAGTTCAATCTTTTTGAGGACTCCATAGACACTACCGTATTCAGAATGTTCTTTTCCACAACCATCATAAAAGTCCTAGGCTAATACCCAAGTGCTTTTACAATCCATTTGCCTGAGTTGCTAGTAGGAAAATAGCTCCAACTACAGTTTATCTGCATAGTATAGGAACATATAGCTGCCTAATATCCCTGTCTGCTTGCAGCACTGTGTTAGTTCAAAATGTACATACAGTAAATATTGTCGATCATAAACAATCCATAATGAACTAACGAACTGTTCTCTGGTATATTGGGATATACTGTGAGAATCAGCATTTGGAGATGTGCCAAGTGAGATAGAATTGGGACATGTTACTGGCCTGGTAACAGCCAGTTCTTGCTTTGAGCTGGCTTTATATATGACAATACCATGTTTGGGTATCTTGACATAATTTTAAACATACATAGACAAAGAGTAAAAGTCATGTATTTCTGTTTCTAATGCTTTGAAATTCAATGCTGTGAAAGGAGAGAGAATCTAGCCCCATAATAAGACTGACCCATGATAATCCAAATATATATATATATATATCTCCTTTGTATTTTATATGATTTAGGCTGCAATTTCGGTTAAGTCAATAAATTTGCAGGTTTAAATTATCCAGTCACCAAGTAAATACAGCAGATAAGCAGAATATATATGTATTGATGAGCTGGTAAGCTGCAGCAGAACTCAGAAGCAAGCAGGCACATTAATAGGTTGCTCAAATAAAATCTTTTTAGATTCTCTCTTTCTGCATTTTCTTCTTGATAGCAGAAATTCTGGCTTCTTCTTTTGCCTTTTCCCTCTCGCTGCTTCCATCACAGGTACAAGGAAGTATAAAGGTACCTATTTGTTTCACCCACATTATGTGAAACACTGCAAAATGCATGCACTAGCTCATGGACAGGTAAAGGAGCAGCAAATATGCTTTGTTGAAGCTCTGCATCTGTTAGAAAGGGCTCCATGCTGCAAATTGTGCAAAGACACAAGCATTTAAAAGGGTGAAAATCACAGTGACTAATTAGCCCAACAGGTTAGCTCTGCTGAGGTGCTTTAGAGTCCTTCTCATTTGCCTTGCCCTTTTATTGCTCCTTACCTCTGTACTCACCTTCTGTAAATGTGAAAGATCAGAAGAACAACTTGATGCTTCCAGGTCAATGTTTAGCAATGGGTTTACATTCAAATCTCTCTGTTCTGCAATTTGCTTTTGTCTTGTAAGCGTGCAAATCAGTGCACTAAGCATAGGGCAGAGGAACAGCGTCTTCAGCAATTAACTAAGGAATTCACATTATAATCCTGCAAGACACCTAAAGGCAGGCACATCCTCATTTCAGAGGTAATAAACATTTTTAATTATATTAACAGCTGAGTCAGCAGATCTTTGAGGTGGACTTACTTTCAGTTTTCCCTCGAAACAATTGTTGCAAAACACAAAGCTCTTAACTTCAGAAATCAGATTTTGTTAAACATAAAGGAATACTTAAAATAAACAAAAAACACCAAAAAACCCCCAACTATAGAGAACACTTCAAGTTAGGCAGAACAGAAAGTTTCTAAATTAACTCCTTGCAGGGCAGGTTCTTTCTTTCAAATGCTTCTCTCTGTCCCATCCTATCTTTAAGATGTTTCACCCAACTCATGATGCTTAACTGCACCAAAGAAAAGTATGTTGCACCCTTTCCAAGGGTCCAGCCATGGCTGCAGCATCTTCAAGACAGAGGCAGCATCTTCCCTGGCACCAAAACAACACCCTGTATGTTTTATTATAAACCATGTTCCAGGGGACAGAATAGATAGTAAACATGAAGAGAGCAGGCACTACCCCTCCAAGTTGCAGGAGGCCCTATAGCTGCAGCTGCTTTGCCCTCTAGCAGTTGGTTGGATGCTCTGTAATTGCTTCCTTTGTCCTGTTTCAGACCTGCTGTGTGTCTAGGTAGATGTTCATTAGAGGTGAATATATTTGGCAATTTTGTGTCTTGTGTTGACTTACGCAGGTAAATGAAGGCATGCTAGCAAATCCATAGCACATAAGCATATTTGTGATCTATAAACAGCTACATTCTCAGTATTGGAAGATAAGTATCTATTGTGGTCACTTTATTGGGGATGCTAGAGCCTGTGTAATGTACGGGGTGTAGGCAGTCACTTTGGAGATGGATGCAAGAGGCTGGTGATTTCACCCCAGAGCTGTATGCCCTCACAGATTGTGACCCAGGTTGTGGTCTGCTGAATTAAATACATCTTGTGTCCCATGTGTGGGTTGCATAAGAAGGGTGAATGCACACGCATGAATCTCACAAAGCACATTTGCCTAATTTACTTAAAATTTCACCAGACTGATTAAAAACAAAGCAATTTTCTATATTTTATATGATTTCGGCTCCATTTTCAGTTAAATCAATAAATTAGCAGATTCAGATTATCTGGTCACCAAGTTACCACAGCAGATAACCACATCACATAATGAAAAAAGTAATTTTTTTTAAGCTTATCTTGGAATTAAATGAAGGTCTAGTTTTCTTATAACCTGAAAAACCCAGCTACTATTTAGCTAATATTTCATTGACACAGTTAACATGTCACTGGAGGACTCTGTCATTACTGGGCATAGGTGGCTGTGGAATATTAATTTTGGTCTTTGGCCAGCTAAATGATCCAAGCAGACAAGAACTGTACCCACACTCAGTTCAACAAATGCAGTTAAACAAATGCTTGTGTGATATCTTTAAATCTCCACATTAGTACATGTTTTATGTTGTTCTTTGCCATCTCTATGCAGTTACACAGGGTATTTTGAAGATTTAACATGTAGACAGATGATGGTTGAATCATCTCCAACAGCAATTTTCATATAGCACTGGCTTTTTCACTGAGGAATGTAGCAGTGGCAGAATGCTTTCGTTTTTAAAAACTGTAAAAGACAGTTCACTCTCCTCCTCTCTGACCATGGCTTAATGATACAATAAATCCAATACTAGGGCCCTTAGTATCAGACCATAACCCACTACCCAAGGTCTAGATCAACTTTCACTCATGCTGTCAGTTAAAATTTCTTTACAATTTTGCTAATTTCTTATTGACACACTTAATGTGATTACAACTACCGCTCTCTGTGTGTCATTGTTACTTTATGTGAGATTAGAAATCAGCTACCAGCTATTATAAAACTCATATGAACTCCAATAATAAAAATTATGGAAACAGCTTCACACATGCACTGGACACACTAAAATTAAGACATGCTTTCACTGAGAAAAAATTAAAACATAAGTGGTTCAAGCAGCTGTTTAATTTGTTAGGCTCTTTCTCCTTAAAGTCACTCTGGGATTTTACCAAATTAGGTGTTCTTTCATAAGGGTGCAAGGCAGAGTGTGTAAGTGTCTTGGTTGAGAAAACAGCCCTGGCTCGTGGCTGACACTGCAAATGCAAGAACCTCTATCAGTATGAATTTTGTTTTACAAAAATGATTAAAATAATTAAAATTTCTTCTGCACAGTATCTCCTTACATGCCTTCTTTTCTTGTCAATCACTGTCATGTTCTCAACATTTTTAAAGCACTCTATATTTTTACTGTGGATGAACAGAAAAGTAATAAGAGCTCACAGTTCATCTTGTTAGCTTTTGACCTGAAAAACACAAGACTGTTTGGCATTTTATGAGAGGACATTCCACTAATAGTTAAACAGTTTTCTTGTACCAGTTGTCAGGGGGATTTTAAAAAGCCTCCCATGTTCTCCTCTATGTGTGAGTGAATATTGAGGCTTGGGAAGATGTGGTGTGCTGTCAGTTTTGGTTGCAGTGTTTCTGGGAAGAGCAAGGAGAAGAATGGAGAGAGAAGTGGTATCATTGCTGCTTTAAGTTAGTACATGGACTCCTGGCTACTTGTGTTCAGTTAGATTTCTGAAAGATACAACTGCTCTGTGCACTGCCTCACATCTCTGTTGCAAAGTTTGATTTTTGTGTATTAAAAAATGGCATTTTTCAATGACTGAAGTTTTGCCCTATTGACTTGCGTTGGGAGACTGACCTGTCTTCCCCCATGTCACCCATGACCACAGAGCAGGGTAGTATTTTCCTGTGCTGTACAGTATGTACTTCTTCCCTTTGTCATAGAAGCTGCAGGATGTGTTCATTCAGGAGAAGAACAGACCCTGTAGTAACTGCAAAGACTTCAAATCCTTTCAGTCACAGCTGGTTTTAGTGCTTGTCTTAGCTGAATTCAATAGAATGACTGGAGTTGCAATAGCATGTGCAAAGTTGTTCTGCCTTTAGTAAATCGCTTTCCCTTGGCTTCCCACAAGATGAAACATCTTCTCAGCATTGCTGCAAGGCAGAGACAAGA